GAAACGTATCCATGCGTTTGTCTCCAGTAGGTTAGATACTGTAATGTTCTGCTCACTGGTCTCTCCAAACGAGCTGTGAGACACTGCAGAACATCCAGAACGCTGCAGCTCGGGTCCTTACTCGAACTAGGAAGTACGAGCACATAAGTCCTGTGCTCAGGTCTCTGCACTGGCTCCTGTGCCTCAGAGAATAAACTTTAAAGCAGCTCTGCTTGTGTACAAGTCTCTCCATGGCCGAGCACCAAAGTCCATCTGTGACATGTTAGTGTCATATGAACCATCTCACACTCTGAGGAGCTCAGGGACCGGCCTCCTGCTGGTGCCCAGAGTCACGACTAAACAAGGGGAGTCAGAGTTTCAGGTTCATGCAGCTAAAACCTGGAACAGTCTGAACATGTGAGACAGACTCTACTGTGACGCTGTTTAAATTCAGGCTCAGAACATTTCTGTTTAACTGTGCAAATAACTGAAAGGTTTTCACTCCACACTCTTCTCTCTAATTTATGTCTCTTTTTTTATTTCAATCTTCATGATTATTTATGTTTTGATTTGTTTTTATTATAATTTTAATGTATTTCTTATTCTGTAAAGCACTTTGAATTACTTTGTGTACGAATTGTGCTGTACAAATAAACTTGCCTTGCCTTTCTCTCCTCTCTCTCTTTCTCTCTTTCTCTCTCTTTCTCTGGGCTCAGGGAGACGTGCAGTGGAGGCTGCTACATGAGCAGTAGAGTTGCTCCATCACATGAACAGTGGTGTGGGGGAGGACTGTTCTTTCTGTGGACTCGGGGAGACTGTGATCCACTCATTTCATTCATTCGTCTTGTACGTGCACCCAGCTTTCCTCTCCGACTGGCGCTGAGCCTTTTGAGGTCATTTTCAGTTTCGTTGTTCTCCACAACGTCATTTTGAGCATTTTCCTCCACATTTCCTTGTTCCACAGTTTCATCAATTTTTCACAAATTCGTTCGTTTCCTTTACAATCCACACATTGGATTACTTCGCGCGTAATTGTTCACTTTTCCAGAGCGCACGGTGGCGCTTGAGTTTACTCACGGCACGTAAGCCTTGTGTCTTTACGCGTCCAGCGGCGCGGCGTCTTTGATTCATTCATAATTCCAAACATGTGTCTGTCGCAGCGTCTTGACTCCATCCAGCGCAGGCTCGGACTCCATAGCCGAGGTCTTTGACTTTGTTATGGCTTCTAGTTTAACATGAGCTGTAACACATGTAAATAACCATCCTTAGGGCGTCCGCTTCTTGACTCACACGAAATGTACAAAAACTCACGTAGTCCGTAGTTCGTTTGATTTCTTTTATTTGCAGATTTTCAGCGTTTGCAGTTCAGTTCAGTTCAGTTCAGTTCAGTTCAGTTCGGTGTGGTGTGGTGTGGTGTGGTGCGTTCAAAGACCGTGTCGGTCGCCCTCCACGATGCCATAGTCCCCACACACCTGTCTCCCTATTTGACCTGATTATTTGATCTTATTTCCCTAGGACACATCCTCTTACACTATAAACCAAAAGACAAATTGACTGAACTAACTTAAATTGGGACTGAAAATAAATCATTTTAACATTTCTATAATTTTAAGAATAATATTTTAATAATTGTTTTAAAAATCAGTCACTCGAGAGCAGGACTTTGTTGTCTGCTCTTCCTGTTTCATGCTGTAGTAGTCATCATATAGTGAAATTATACTAATGTTTGTTTGTGTGGAAGGTAACAAAGTACAAGTAGTAAAGTAATGTAATTTGAGAGCAGTTACCTGTACTTTCTACTCCAGTACATTTTTGAATTAGACTGAAAGGTAGAAATTACTTTTCGTTTGATTTTAGTTGTTATTTTTTTGCTTTGAGCAAACAAAAATAAATACAAAAAAATTCATGAGATATTTAAGAAACTGATTCGTATTGACACTGTTGATCAAAATCTGCATCATTTCTACTCAATATTACTACATTTATTTCTACTATATTACTACATTTATACTCAACATCTGTGTGAAATACTAAACCCATTAGGGGTGTGCAAAAATATCGGAATTTCGATATATCGTATCGTTTAATGTGATGATACAGTATCGATATCATGGGCTGCTGTATCGATATATCACCAAGAGTATTTTTAGGTGTGTTTTACTAAATTATTTTGTTACAGTGCTACAGTTTTGTTGTTTGTGGAGTGAAAGGAAACTCATTTATGCGACACATTTGACATTTTGACACAGTTTTGATGATTCAAATGTTTGTGTTTCATATGAACTTTACACAAGAAGTGGTTAACAAAGACTTTTAGTATCACAGCCATGATTTAGCCTTTATTTTTTAGTGAACCGTGTCAAATCAATTTGAAATATATCGTATCGAATCGAAAGTGCACTGTATCGACATATGTATCGTATCGTTGTCTGTGTATCGAGGAATGTATCGTATCGGCAATTTCTTAATGATACCCAGCCCTAAACCTGTACTTTACAACTTTTACTTCAGTTGATTTTGTCATGTGATACTTTTACTTCAGTGTCTTTTTGTCTCTGCATTTGTACTTTTACTTAAGTAACAAACCCGTATTTGTACTTTTACTTGAGTAACAAAATTGAGTACTTCATCACATGAGAGTAGGACTTGGGGTGGTCTGATCTCGCTGTTTCTCACAGTAGTGCTCATACAGTCCTGTATCTGTCTGGTACTTCAGTATACTACAGTACATTACATCACTCACATGGGAGCAGGACTCTGGTGTACTCTGATCTCCCTGTTTCACACAGTACCTGTAGTACTCATTGGGGGTGTGCAGAAATATTGAAATATTCATATATAGTATCGTTTAATGTAATGATACAGTATCGATATATCACCAAGAGTACTTTTGGATATATTTTACTAAATTATTTTGTTACAGCTACAGTTTTGTTGTTTGTTTAGAGCAGTGCTTCTCAATTATTTTCTGTCATGCCCCCCTAGGAAGAATAAAACATCTCGCGCCCCCCGCGTGACTATAGATAGTATCATTTGTCTATAAAATTGTTATAAGTACAACTCTGCGTAACACTGCCACCTTATATGATGCCAACAACGCTCGCTGGTTTACTGAAGTAGCAGTCACAAAGCGGGATGATTGTCGGCAATATTCGGCACGTTTTCGCTGAAAAATCTCAAGCGGCTTATCAGAGTGATCGGGGTGTAATGTATTTAAGTGACGCCTTAATTTATTGGGCTTCATGCTGTCGGCTGCCAACATTTTTAGACACAGTAACACACCGGTCTTTCCTCGTCTCCCACCGTAGTCACAGTGAAGCCAAGCGCTACATACGCTTCGTCATATTTCCTCGTCTTAGCTTTCGGGAGATTTTCGTTTGTCTCTTTATCTCCGTCTCTCTCCGTCTGTCTTCTCATCCCTGTTAAATATTTTTTCATGGTGTCACTTGAGGGTCTGCTACACTTCGTGTCTACACTTCATACTCAAACTCTGTGCTGTGTGCAAAGCGCGCATGCTCAGTGCAAACAAAACTCCTACACCACCGAGCGAATGCGCCCTGCGCACACTCTGCCAATGAGAGCGCCTCTGCCCCCTAATGTAGTGGAAGTGCAATTGCACTTTATTCTAGGACAGTAAACAAAATAAAAATAAAAAAATAAATAAGCATGTTCCCCGAGGTCAAACGCCCCACTATTTGAGAAGCACTGGTTTAGAGGAAGAAAACTCATTTATGCAACATATTTGACATATTCATTGTTTTGATGATTAAAATGTTTGTATTTCATATGAAGAAGTGGTTTAACAAAAACTTTTAGTATCACAGCCACGATTTAGTCTTTATTTTATATTGAACCATATTGAATCCATTTGAAATATATTGTATTGAATCGTATTGAATCAAATGCTCACTGTATCAAGAAATGTATCATATCGTGACCTTTGTGTTGTGGTATGTATTGTATCTGCAACTTCTGAATGAGCCCTAGTACTCATACAGTTCTGTATCTGTCTGGTACTTCAGTATACTACAGTACGTTACATTATTCACATGGGAGCAGGACTCTGGAGTGCTCTGCTCTCCCTGTTTCACACAGTAGCTGTAGGACCCGGTCAAGCAGAAGTAAACAGCAAGGCCAAAAAGTTAATGCATCTGATATAAAAATGTATTGAACAGATACATATGTACTCTAGTTTATGAAACTGTTGACCTTTTTTCTGTACCATTTTTGGTTCTAAAGTTCCATTTGTTTTAAACAGACCATGTATGAAACATGGAACAAAAATTATTTCCCAAATTTCAAAAACCTGCAAATCATGTCAATAAATTGATGTATTTCATCATATCTTGTGTTATTCCATCTTTGAACTGTTGATGAAGGTTCATGATTTTTCAAAAAAAAAAAAAAGATTTAAAATGATAAAAATTTGCTTGGAAGGACTGACATATTTTATAGAAATAGTTTCCTTTCATTTTGAAGTAATATTAAAGTATTCAGAAGAAAAAAAACTGACAAATGATGTAAAATCCTGCACCTTCTACTTGTTTGTACAATTTTCCCTCCGTTACTTTTCCCTCCGTTACCATGACCTTTCTTAATAAAAAATCTCATGAGTCAAAAAGTAAGAGGTTTTTCAACCTAATCTTGTACCATATGGTAGAAAACTATATGAAGCAAATATTCAAACCAGTTTGTTAAGGATATGGAAGTGAGAACCGCTGTTTGTATTTATTGCATAAAAAGTGCTGCATATTTCATTCCCTCCGTTACCAACATGAGTTTTTAAATTTTTTGTCAACAACTTGAAAGAATATCTCAGGTTTAACTTGACCCTGTTGGAGTGTAACTCTTTCCTACATTCTGATACTTTACTTATTTCAATAGTCCCTCTAGTTTGTGAATAAAAGATATTTGAATGTAAAAAAAAATCTGCCCCTGTTTCCCTCTGTTACCACTTGACCGGACCCTGTAGTACTGTGTAGTATACTACAGTATATCACATTACACATTACATCACTCACATGGGAGCAGGAGTCGGTGTTGTAGGCCTCACACGTGAGCATTTGGGGCCAGCTCACTCCGATCCGTCTGAGCAGCGGTTCACAGGAGGAGCGCGCCTCTTCACACAGTGTCCTGCAGGGGGCGCGCGCTTTGCCCTCGACACACTCGGGGGTGTAGACGGAGCAGAGGAAGGGCTTGAGGGCGGAGGAGCAGCCCACGGTGAGGAGGGCGTGGAAGTGCTTCCTCATCTCCTCAGAGATCTGCTGCTGTGAGCGGAGGCCCAGGGCGTTTGGGAGCAGGGTCTGGGTGTAGGGCAGGTCCGAGCAGATGGGCACCGAGATGGGCTCACACTGAGGGGGCAGAGTGGGGCTCATGGTGGGGGGAGGCTCCTTGAGGAACACACAAAACACACACGGAACATAGAGCTGTGCGTTTAAAGAGCCCAGATTACTCTATTTTCTGATGTTCTAATGTGGTTTCCTCATCACAAACTGACCTGGAGTTGTGTTTTGTTTCATTCACACTTTTAACACACAAACCCTGCACATTTAGGATGAGTTCTTCTCTCAAACGGAAAACACTGTTTCACCTTGTGATGTCATGTGGTAATACAGGAAGTGCTTCACTGTGTTTTTAAACTCCATATCCCTTCACTACAATCATTTGGATAATTTCATCCCTGGAATTGTTAATCTCTCCTAGACTTTTGAACATTTTGAACTTTTAAGATGTAGAGATTAATAATAGAGAGATAAAAGAGTTACTGAAACATGTGAATGAAACAAAACACAACTCCAGGAATGTTTTTGAGGAGGTAACTATTATAACATGACTTAAAGCTCACAAGAAACAATTTAGCATAATATAGGACATTTAATAAAACATGTATCCAGATTACAATTCCTGCTCATTTTAAAGAGAGCTATTACACTTCTATGGGGTATTAACACATACCCTATTCACCATGTTACCTTTTTATTTGATTAAAAATACTATATTGGCCCAAAACAATGTATTAACATGTTTTAAAAGTCTCCCCTCCCTTCAGAGCGCTATCACAACACAGCACTAATGAAACTACTGCACATGGCACCAGGTTTGTGAAGCTGCTGTGTACTTCTGTATCCTGCTTTTTATATTTATGAATTGTCGTGTGGGAGCATGGGGGCTGTAGATTTGTGGGCGGAGCCTCATACAGGCTCTTGCATCTAACTGTAAAGAGAGTTTGAATAGGGCTTGAGAGAATGATAAATTACTTAAATATGCATGGAGGACTTTTTTGACATGTTTTTGATGAGGGAATCGCATTTTAACATGGTAGAAAGCCCAATGTTTGTTTGTTGTTGTTTTTTTTATTATTTTGCATAATACCTCCTCTTTACAGGAACTATATGTAGCTTGCATGATACAGTTTAAAAATGTTACAATCGCAACTAAACCTGTGTCTCCAGAGCCTGAACCTGTGTCGACAGAGGACACAAACAGGTTTGTATCAGTCTCAGTTTATGTTCAGGCCTCCAGAATTCCCTCCCTGAGCTGCAGGGGCTGCACTAGCACTGACTGAAACTAGCAACCCAAACGAGACACTCATGTGAGGTTCATTCAACGTTCTAACTGGATAACCGTCTTGAGAACCAAAGAACCAAAAATCAAAGTATCTGCCCATGCCCAATGTTTTTGTACTTAAGAATAAATCAGCAGTACAATTGTTTTCAGTAACAGTTCAGTTTGATTTCAACATGTTTACCTCGTATCTGGAGACAGAGTTAGGTCACATTTATGAAATTTCAAATCAAACTCTTACATACAGTTCATTTAATTAAACGTGCACTTTTCCTTTACCTGCATGTTCCACAATGTGCATTTATTCATTTATACGTTTATTATGTTTTATTGCTCAAAAATACGTTGATAAACATGCACTCTCCACAGATCTGATCTGTAACTTGGCTTGGTGACATTCATTTTGACTCATGGAAACAGGTACTGTGGAACACTGAAAAGCAGTAACATCTTCAGGGAGACAAGCAGGTGGTGGACCCTCCACTAGAAAACTTATACAGTGCACCTTTTAAAGTTTGAGAAGAGCTATTTGTCCATCTACTGTAATCCATCTAATCTGTGTTTATACACACGAGTCACAGAAGCCCTTTAAATGAATCCTCCTCCTGCTTGTTTCCATGTTGTTCCTGTGACTCTACTTGTCTACAGTAGGACAGAAAACTGTCTCTGTCTCCATGGACAACAGAATCATACAGGTGACGAGCCACCACCAGAAAATGACAGAATCTACTTCTACATAACTGACAATTGACTTTGACTATTCCTTTATTTAAACATCCATCTGTACATGTGGTTTCATGTAGAAAGGGCTCCAGATAATTATATTTAGCTAAATAAGCTCTATTTTATTGACTGTTCATTGTGTCTCCTCACCAGACATTCATTTAGCTCGTAAAAGCCTAAATTGGCAATTTCCTTTTGAAAATCAGAGTAACAAAATGAAGTCTCTCACCGGATCGCAGGCGTCATTCTTGAAGGTGTCACATTTGAGTTTCTCGGGCCAGGGGAAGCCAAACTTATTCATGAGTGGCTCACAGCCGGAGCGTGCTTTCTCACACGTGCGCCTGCAGGGGGCGCGAGCACGCCCCATGATGCACTCAGGAGCATAGACAGAGCACAGGAACTCCTTCAAGAAGGGACTGCACTGAATCTTCACCAGAGGAAAGAACTGGTGCACCTCCAGGCCCGCGTCGTCCTGGTGCTGGTGGCCGAGGAGGTTTGGCATCACTGTCAAGTTATAGGTCAGATGTGTGCAAAGGGGGACCATGATTGGCTGACAGACCTGTGACTGGCTCACAGGGCCCGCACGCGAGAGCCCGCCCCCTGAGCCCTGGAACCACAAAGCAGAAACAACAACAACTAATTTCATGTCATAACACTCTCTCTCCCCATCTCCACCACAGCAGCACAACAGACAACCTCCTCTGTCCATTTAGACCAGGGGTGGCGAACACGCGGCTCTTGAGCCGCATGCGGCTCTCGGCCAATAAGCATGCGGCTCTTTGCCTCATCATATTTTCTATATACTGTGGCTCTTTGCCTCGTTTCATGTTTAGTTTTTTTTTTCCTCTTAAACCACACTCGAATCCATCAGAGGGTATTAAAAACAAATAATAAATAATATTTTAAAATTAATTTGGCAGATTGGGTGTTTTTCTGCTGCTCCGGACACGTAAGTCACTGCCAATCATCTTCGCGGGTTACGTCTAATGCCGGGAAATGAAGGAAACATTTCATGAGCTGCAGACTGTTACCCTCATGGTCAAAATGGCAAAACACTGAATTTAGACCACGTCATGAAACCTGTGATGGAGATTGTGAACTACATCCGTACGCACGCTCTTAATCACCGGCAGTTCAAAAACCTCATTGCTGAACTTGACGCAGACTTGCCTGGTGACCTGCCACTGCACTGCGCTGTGAGATGGCTCTCAAGAGGCTCTCAAGAGGCTCTCAAGAGGCTCTCAAGAGGCTCTCAAGAGGCTCTCAAGAGGCTCTCAGAGGCTCTCAAGAGGCTCTCAAGAGGTAAAGTGGTTTTGTGCTTTTTGAAACTTTTGGAAGCAGTAAAATTGTTTATGGCAGAAAAGAACAAAACTTACCCCTTGAGTTCAGACCCCAACTGGCTTTTGGATTTGGCTTTTTTAGTGGACATGCTTTCACACTTGGATAAACTAAACCTGGATCTGCAGGGGAAATTAAAAACTCTTCCTGATCTGGCACAAAGTGTATTCTCTTTTATTAACAAGTTGAAGCTTTTCAAAGTGCACATTCAAAACGGCAATTTATCCCACTTTCCTTCTTTGCGTAGCGCACAGCAGAAGGCTGCCATTAAAATGAATACAGCGCAGTATGTGACACTGCTTGCGCAGCTGCACGGGAACTTTACTTCGCGGTTTGAGGACCTGCAGCAGAAACGACCACAGATCACTTTTCTCATCGACCCTTTTAATGCAGAGACTGACTGCCTGAAATCCCCGCTTGTCACTGATGAGGCAGCTACTGAACTGGAGATGATTGAGCTACGCGAAGATAACAGACTGAAATCTTTTTTGAAAGAAGGCCCTGTTACGTTTTGGAGAACTGTGCCAACTGAAAAATACCCGTGTGTAAAAAGAGCCGCTCTCAAGCTGCTGTCGATGTTCTCGTCAACATATGTCTGCGAGTCCCTGTTTTCTACCTTGAAACACGTGAAATCAAGGCATCGGTCCGTTCTGACTGACACTCACGTAAAGGAACTGCTCCGAGTGGCTACAACTGAATACACACCTGATTTGCAGAGGATTACTGGAAACAAGAGATGCCAGAAATCCCACTGAGAATATCATCCCATCACTCCAGCAATACTAATTAAAAACTTAGTATAAACATTTTATTGTTTATTTTTTATTAAGTATCAAAATTTAATGATAAAAAATCCCGACATTAGTTTATACATTCAAATAGATTTTTTTTGTGTTTCACTTCGAATAAAATTTCTTTGAACCCTTTTTTACGCGACATTTTTATTTTGCCCTAGTGTAGTTTGAAAAAACACCTGACTGAACATGCTTGTGTGAATATTTTAATATTCCATCAATTTACATTATACAGGTTCTATCTGTGCATCTGAAGTGTGTTCAGTAGTTGTGTGTGTCAGAGAGAGGCAGAGAATTAGATAGTGAGAAAAAGTGTGTGTGTGTGTGTGTGTGTGTGTGTGTGTGTGTGTGTGTGTGTGTGTGTGTGTGTGTGTGTGTGTGTGTGTGATGAGATGAGAGAGAGGTGCCTGTGTGTGTGGAGGGGGTATCTGACCTCCAGGGTAGTTGCTGTGTTAACTCTGGCTAAGGTGCATTTGATGTGTGTATTGAGGGTGGACACTTTCCTTGAAATGAACACAAGAACAATACTTGTTGTATTATTGTAAGGAGAGGAGTGTGTTATAAGAAATAATATGTTTTTAATTGGGTGTGTTTGTGTGTGTCTGTCTGTCTTGGCAGGTCAGTGCGTGGTGTGGCTCTTTGACTCTCACAGTTAAAAATTTCGGCTCTTTGTGTCAAACTTGTTCGCCACCCCTGATTTAGACAGAAGTCCTGTGTGAAACACAGGACTTCTGTCTTCATCTGTAACCGTTTAGACAGGAGTCCTGTGTGACACACTTCAGCTAGAGCAAGTGGAGACCTTTTAAAGGACCAGTTCAAAAGTGTAGGTCCTCTGGAACTGGAAAAAGATCCATTTGTCTGGGCAACAGCATTCTAGAGTGTGAAACCGTTTCAGGACACGCAGTCGTCCTGAGGCAGTCTCACCTGTACGCAGTCGTCCTGGGGCAGTCTCACCTGTACGCAGTCGTCCTGGGGCAGTCTCACCTGTACGCAGTCGTCCTGGGGCAGTCTCACCTGTACGCTGTCGTCCTGAGGCAGTCTCACCTGTACGCAGTCGTCCTGGGGCAGTCTCACCTGTCACTCACCTGTCACTCACCTGTACGCTGTCGTCCTGAGGCAGTCTCACCTGTCACTCACCTGTCACTCACCTGTACGCTGTCGTCCTGAGGCAGTCTCACCTGTACGCAGTCGTCCTGAGGCAGTCTCACCTGTACGCAGTCGTCCTGGGGCAGTCTCACCTGTACGCAGTCGTCCTGGGGCAGTCTCACCTGTACGCAGTCGTCCTGGGGCAGTCTCACCTGTACGCAGTCGTCCTGGGGCAGTCTCACCTGTACGCAGTCGTCCTGGGGCAGTCTCACCTGTACGCAGTCGTCCTGGGGCAGTCTCACCTGTACGCAGTCGTCCTGGGGCAGTCTCACCTGTACGCAGTCGTCCTGGGCAGTCTCACCTGTACGCAGTCGTCCTGGGGCAGTCTCACCTGTACGCAGTCGTCCTGGGGCAGTCTCACCTGTACGCAGTCGTCCTGGGGCAGTCTCACCTGTACGCAGTCGTCCTGGGCAGTCTCACCTGTACGCAGTCGTCCTGGGGCAGTCTCACCTGTACGCAGTCGTCCTGGGGCAGTCTCACCTGTACGCAGTCGTCCTGGGCAGTCTCACCTGTACGCAGTCGTCCTGGGGCAGTCTCACCTGTACGCAGTCGTCCTGGGGCAGTCTCACCTGTACGCAGTCGTCCTGGGGCAGTCTCACCTGTACGCAGTCGTCCTGGGGCAGGCTGTCACACCTGAGGCGAATGGGCCAGGAGATGCGCTTTGCTCTCAGGGGCCCCTCACAGTCGCTCTTCACCCGCTCACAGAGGCTCCGGCACGGCTTCAGACGGCTGTTCTCCTCCACCCCACACTCCGGCACCACCACCCTGTACCAGACACACAAGGCTTGGGAAACTACACCACCTGCACTACCTTGTAACTTCAAAACTACCACTATATGACATCACAAGGTGGAGCAGAGCATTTCAAGCTTTGGACATGTGGACAGACTAATAATAAAGAGTTACTTAAACATGTGTGAATGAAACAAAACACAACTCCAGGAATCCTGTGGGTGATTCTATAATTAGGGCTACATGTCACTCAATAAAAAGTGAAAAAATAGCTTTTGTTTTATTACAGTTTTTCTCTGTTGGTTTGGCTCATTTCTTGAAACAGAAATAACATTCTTAAAACTATAAGATCATTTTGACCAAACAGTCTGATAGTTCTGCACAACATTACAGCTCAACAACAAAAGCTCAGATCTGTCCCAAAACACTTAACCCATGTGTCAAAACTAAACTCCTTTCTCACATAAAGAGTCATTGTCCCCAAAATGCATCGTCCCTTTGGCTTTGTGTCACTGCAGCTCAAAATGACTCCATGTTTCACAATAAGAGCCTCCAAAGTTTGACATCACACACACTGCTCTCTCACACACACACACACACACACACACACACACACACTGCTCTCACACTGCCAACGAAAATCTAACCATTTTATTCACACACATAAAATCACTTCCACACATCAGAGAACAGAAAAGGAAAATGTATACAGTATCTGTACATGTATGAAATAAACAAACAAACAAAACAAAACAAAATATAATTGTTAGAGCCATAATTAAATTTCTTAAAAAGTTATTTTATGTTTTACCATAAATTCATATTTTTATTATACCTTAAAACAATTATTAAAATATTATTCTTAAAATTATAGAAATGTTAAAATGATTTATTTTCAGTCCCAATTTAAGTTAGTTCAGTCAGTTTGTCTTTTGGTTTATAGTGTAAGAGGGTGTGTTCTAGGGAAATAAGGTCAGATAATCAGGTCAAATAGGGAGACAGGTGTGTGGGGACTATGGCATTGTGGAGGGCGACCGACACGGTACCACACCACACCACACCACACCACACCACACTGAACTGAACTGAACTGAACTGCATACGCAAACGCTGAAAATCTGCAAATAAAAGAAATCAAACGAACTACGTGAGTTTTTGTACATTTCGTGTGAGTCAAGAAGCGGACGTCCTAAGGATGGTTATTTACATGTGTTACAGCTCATGTTAAACTAGAAGCCATAACAATAATATCTAGCCAACAGTGCTGTAAATAAAGTAAATCAAGTTTCTAGAGTGACACTTTCACTGGTCACTGTCATCACTCTTCCTCTCCTGGTCACCGTCCTCATCCTCCTGCACATCCACACGCTGCTCTCTGTTTGACCACAGATTTTCACTCACATCTCAGTGGATATTTTCTCTTGTGATGCAGTGAGGGAAGAAATGGCGAGAATGTCTCAACCGTCTCCTAAACTGATCCATGTGATGTCCTCACACGCAGCGTCTAGTGCATGGAGCAGAGACGTCTGGTCTGGAGCCACATGTTCATCCACTCTCCACCTCCAAGAGGAAAAAACTCCTCAGTCAGATTGAGGAAAGGAGAGGACGGTGGTAGTGGCTCCATGAGCATCTTTAGATGGAAGTGACCCAGACCCTGATGAGCCACAGTGGAAATTCACACTGTCCCACATGATCACACAGTGTGATAGGAAGATCTCATTTCACCTGACTGACAATCACTGCCATGAATTTATCAAATGTTCCAAAAAAAATCATATATGTTGTTCATGGTGTTATGTTCTTGACTAATTTTGACACTTGAACAGACAATTGTACAGATGATGATTCAGACAGTGAAATGATGCTGACATGTTTTGGAGAGAAAAACCATCAGACTGAGAATCAACTCATCAGTTTAGATCAGCAAGATCCATTTATTTGTAAAATGTGCTAAATGTGGCTCATTGTGCAAACTGTAGACGACTTGTACAGAACCATGTGCAGCAAAGATGCACTGAGACACTTGACACATGCACCAAGACATTTACAAACTGATGAAATCAATGAGAAATGTCATTCTGTTGTGAAAACTGCAAAGTGGTTTGGAGATTTGTCCATGTTGTTTTGAGAATGTTATTTCTGTTTCAAGAAATGAGCCAAACTAACGGAGAAAAACGATAATTACATCTTTTCAAAACAGACAGCTGAGGGGACATAAAGAATTATTTGGCCATCTTAAACTTTTATCATTTTAAATTACTCATGTTTTAAAAGTGTTGAAATAATTATTTTGTTAACTGGGGAACGGGCCAGTGACATTTGATTTTGATTTGTTCTCAAATCACACTTTTGACACCACATTAGTTTGAAAGTTTTTTTGTCCTTTTGGCACTGGCTGCAGTGTTTTGTTTTTGTGACAGATTTAAAACAGAATTCTGATCAGTTTAATGATCCATTAGGAGGAATGCTCACCATGACTGATATTTATTTTTATGCATAACTTTAAAAATGACACATATATATTTATATTAGTCATTGTATTTGGGCTTTATTTGAGTGATGCTCTCTAGTCATTTTTTATGCAAAACAATCAAATATTTAAGAAAATATGGCCCAAAAAAGAGCCAGATTATCTGGAAAACATGTCAGCTGAGTAATGTTATCCACTTCTGTTCAAATGATTTATCTATTTAGTGGTTTTATAAGTTGACATTTTGTAATATTTTTGGATGCCGCCCACACACACACGACATGTGCATATTACAGAGGTGAGAATAGTCCCAAATGACCTGTTATTGCTATTTATCTCATTCCATTCCTGTTAGTAAATATAAAACTTTGTAATTCTTTAAAAACCTGTGTTATTATCCCTTTGACATCTGCATTCTTCTGTAGGGTGGGTTTGCAGTAAATAGGATGAATGTTTCACAGAAGCGGGTTAACCTCGAGCAGTCTCTTTTGAGATCTCACTCCCAAAAGGCGTCACTGTAGTGCTGACTTTGTGACTACAGAGTGAACCACTGCACTTTTATGATGGATTAGCATACATTTTACCATAAATTCATATTTTTTATTATACCTTAAAACAATTATTAAAATATTATTCTTAAAATTATAGAAATGTTAAAATGATTTATTTTCAGTCCCAATTTAAGTTAGTTCAGTCAATTTGTCTTTTGGTTTATAGTGTAAGAGGGTGTGTCCTAGGGAAATTAGGTCAAATAATCAGGTCAAATAGGGAGACAGGTGTGTGGGGACTATGGCATTGTGGAGGGCGACCGACACGGTCTTTGAACGCACCACACTACACCACACCACACCACACCGCACCGCACTGAACTGAACTGAACTGAACTGAACTGCATATGCAAACGCTGAAAATCTGCAAATAAAAGAAATCAAACGAACTACGGACTACGTGAGTTTTTGTACATTTCGTGTGAGTCAAGAAGCGGACGCCCTAAGGATGGTTATTTACATGTGTTACAGCTCATGTTAAACTAGAAGCCATAACAAAGTCAAAGACCTCGGCTATGGAGTCCGAGCCTGCGCTGGATGGAGTCAAGACGCTGCGACGCGGACACAAGTTTGGAATTATGAATGAATCAAAGACGCCGCGCCGCTGGACGCGTAAAGACACAAGGCTTACGTGCCGTGAGTAAACTCAAGCGCCACCGTGCGCTCTGGAAAAGTGAACAATTACGCGCGAAGTAATCCAATGTGTGGATTGTAAAGGAAACGAACGAATTTGTGAAAAATGGATGAAACTGTGGAACAAGGAAATGTGGAGGAAAATGCTCAAAATGACGTTGTGGAGAACAACGAAACTGAAAATGACCTCAAAAGGCTCAGCGCCAGTCGGAGAGGAAAGCTGGGTGCATGTACAAGACGAATGAATGAAATGAAAGCTCTCATGTCAAATCCTCAAAATATGGACTATGTTGCAAATGTTTTTGAACAATTCAAAGTGTCATTGAATGAGTTTAAAACATGTCATGGAGCAGTGCAAAAACTTTTACCTCTAGAAATACAGGAAAATGAAACAATTGACTGGTATGAACCTAAAATGGAAATATTCAATGTATTTCTGATGGATGTGGAAGCTTGGATTATGGTTCCAAACCCACAGGTCTTGGTGGAGCCAAAAGACAGTATATCAAATGTGTCAACAAAAAAGCACAAAATCAAGTCAATCTCAAAACTCTGGTGCCTCAAAAGAACGCCTCAGATTGGTCTCTGAAAAAGCTGCTCTGGAGGCTGGTATGGCTCTATTAACAGAGAAACATGCAATGGAAATTGAAAAGGCCAGAATAACTGCTAAACTGGAGGAAATGGAGCTCGCAGCAAATCTAGCTGCATCTGATGCCAGGTTAAGTGTTCTGGACAGCTTTGTTCAAACTCCTGAAAATGCAATGTCACACAAAGCACTGAGTAAAATCAAACATGATCCAAATATCACCAGTATCAAAGAATACAATGTACCCCCCAAGACTCCTCTTCAACATTTTGTAAATGAACCAGCCAACGTAGGAACATCATCCAAAAGGCACAAATCTAATGCTACACCAGTACATGTCAGAGTTCCTCCATCTGAATGTGAAAGTGGTTCTGAAAGTAGCACAAGCACAGACAAATCTTCTCTATCCAAACAGCTGTTTACTGTTATTCAAAAACAAAATGACATCACACGTCTTCTAATGTCACCACAGCAACAGTCCTCCCTCCCCTCCAGACAAATAAGTGTTTGATGGCAATTCATTACAATTTCAGAAATTTGTGAGAGCATTTAAACATGGCATTGAGAGGAAAACAAATAATGACCATGACAGACTTGATTATTTGGAACAATATACAAGTGGCCAAGCCAGAGAGCTTGTTAGGATCTGTTGTCACATGGATGCAAATGTGGGCTGCTTTAAAGTTTATTCTCTGAAGCACAGGAAGCCAGTGCAGAGACCTGAGCACAGGACTTATGTGCTCGTACTTCCTAGTTCGAGTCAGGACCCGAGCTGCAGCGTTCTGGATGTTCTGCA